ATACACTGTATGTACACACATTTCAACACAAAGTGAATAATAAAACAGCTATATAGCTTATAGTTATTGAACAGTAATGTTTGTGTATTTGGTGTTAAGTTATACAGATGTTTCTCCCACAGCCGCCTGAGCATCAGTGCTGTAGTCTAAATGTGAAGCGAGACGGTGGCGCCCCCATGTGGACGTACTTTGCTTTACTTTCACCCCTATTTCCGTCAGTACCTGAACGCGGCGTAGCACAGTCCTCTCATTGTGCTTTCTCTTTAAGATGAAAGGTTGTTATGCAGTTTGGTGAATAAGGAAGAGGAAGACCGGGTTGACCTGAGGACAGGCAGCAGTGACAGGTTGGACAGGACTCGGACAGGAGCGGCGCTTGTCTTCTGCAGGTGATTATAATATGACATGTTTGTCTTCACTGCGGTGTCCGGCTGTGCAGAGCCCGTGGTTTTGTTTTAGTTTCAGTCCCAGGCCTTCACGATCCTACAGTTTTATCGTGTCACTAATTTTGTGTAACTCTCTGTGTTACTTTACCATAAACACCCCCCTCACCTCAAGATCCAATTTACACGATTATAGATCAGTGAAACACAAGTAAGTACATTTACTCAAGTACTGCACTTAAGTTCAATTTTGAGGCGCTTGTATCCTAGTTTAATTGAGTATTTTCCGCTATTTCGTACTTCCACTTCTGGCAAATATTGTAGGTTTTTAGTGTAATACATACAGTATGTGGTAACTTTAGTCAGGGTACTTTCAGAATCAGATAAATAAAACAAAATTAATTATAATCATAGGACTTTACTGATCCCTGGTGGGAAATTTACAAGCTACCCAGTAGTATATAAAATACTTCAAATAATAATATTAGTTCCACCTTGACCAGCTGCAACATTAAAGTGATGAGCACAATAAAGCTGTAGTTATAATCCAGTAACAGGATAAACAGTAATGTGAAATGTGTCATTCTGCATTTTGAACACTTTTATATTTGGCACTTTAAGTATTATTTGATGCTAATACTTTTGTACTTTTACTTAAGTAACAGTTGGAATGCAGGGCTTCTACTTATAACATATACACTGTGGTATTGCTACTTTTACTTAAAAGTGATTTTCAACTTCATCTTAATTCATTCAAACACTGGCACAGAAATGATCTCTCACTCACTGGTTTCATGGAGGACACTGGGTCGGCATCCACATTTCAGAAACTGAGCTGAGAGTGAAAGATGATGTTTGCTTGTGTGTTTTGTTTCAAAAGAGCATGCAGCGATGGAGCTGTCTGTTGGTTTAATGATCATGCTAGCAGGAGGTGTCCTGGTCCTCCCTGTCCTCGCCTTCATCACCTCCTTCCTGTTCTGGCCTGGAGCACTTCTTAAGGCCTACAACTGGTAAAATCACAAACACTTAGACTGTCTGATGGAAATGACGTATAAATCAAGGGTAATGTTAATTGAAAGACGTTTTTTAGTGTTTGATATTGGTTCAACTATTGTCCAAACTCCACAGCAGTGTAGAGAGAGGTGTTGCTGTTGGTCTGGTCCTTTGTTTAGGTGAATATTGACACAGGGTATGCAGACCACAGTATTCTGGACACAAGGGCATCTCGTTATGTTCTTAGCAAAAGTATAACTAGGAAGTGCTCATGCTGTGTGGAGAGATCTTTAACTTCTGCATGCACTGAGACCACAAAAGGCAGATCTACACTTGGTTTACACATAATTTCCATCACGACTGGTAATTCGTTAGTGTTTACACATAATTTCTTAATCACTTGTTACTTACTATTTAAGAAATCCAAGTAACATCAGTCTAGCCTCTGGACGGATTATGACCTACTGGGCACAAGTCAATCAGTGTTAACCTTTCCATTGGAAAGCCTCAAATTTCTACTCTTATTTCAGATTTCTGTTTTATATATTTGGCTACATATATAGAATAGATATAGATAAACTCATCTGTTTTTAAGTAATTGCTCTCCTAATTCACAGATACAAATACTCTACTTTTTATTGGTGTTAAAAGACCATAATGCTTTGTAAAATAATAAAGATAAACTAATAATGACAAACTGTTATTGTAATTTAAATCCTATAATATTATGTAACTGTAGAACTGAAAAAACCAAATGACCAGTTGTTTCACCTGAACATGTCATCACTCTTGTGTGCCTAAGTGTGCTCCTGAGTGTGTGTAGATTCTGTTCTTACCAAAGAACAAAAGAACAAATCCCAGATAAGAAAACATTGTTGAATGCCAGAATCTCAAAACTTCTTTAATGGGTTTTACAAACAAATTAGTTCTTAAGAATGGTTGGTGAATGAGACCTATTGTACTAATAGTGATTTTGGTAGTGTTCAGCTGTGTGTTACAGGTTGTTTCTGTGCACTCAAAGTGCAGTTTTAATGTGAAGGGGCAGGACTGGTTGGATGGCTTCACCTACTGGACTTTGTCTGTGTGGAAAAGAAAGAAATACAAACACACACAGTGCTGAGTCACTGTCATGTTAACAGTTCTGTCAGCAGCTTTGTGACTTGAATAAAATATGAATGTAAAAACACTGTCCAATACATAAAATAGCATTAGAACTGAATTTAGGGAGCACTTAAAATGATATAAAAGGTTTTAGAGGAACATACAGTATGTCTACATATATATATAAAATAGACACATCCTCACAAGCTTTTATAAGTTGTTAAATATGTATTCTGAGTAGCCTATACAATACGGAAAATGATTTTTTTCAGATATGACAGTGTACAAATACTGTACTTGAAGAAACATATATTTTAGGAAACCATGACATCTGCTGATGCCCTGGTTTCTCCTCTAGGTTCACATTTGTGGAGAACATTATGCATTTGCAAACTGTTTCAGATGACACCCACACTTACTAAGTCCTAGATATCCTGTTATATCCTCCACAGGTACTTGCGTCGCAGGCAGGGGCTGGTGGTCCGCTACTCTTACAATGGAAGTTACCGCTTCTGTTATCACACTCGTGGAAAACCAGGGGGCGCCACACCATCCCTGCTGCTGCTGCACGGCTTCTCTGCCTCCAAAGACATGTGGCTGCCTCTTGTCAAGGTATAAAACACATGTGCAAGCTGAGTGAGACACTAAGAAGAAGACAGAAGGTAGGCACAGATGGATGATGGAAGGATGAAGGGGGAAAGAAGGACTGGAGGGAATAAAACAGATAGACGAGAGGAACTTGCAGGAAGGAAGAAGGGGAAAATGGAGCAAGTGGAGGAGGAAAGCAAAAGTTATACATAGAGATAGGAAAAACAGGAGACAAGGAATGATCAAATGAAAGCTGGACAAAGAAAGTGAGGACACAGGAGCACAGAGGGGAACACTATAAGCTATATATCTGTGCAGATTCTATAAGCTATATATTAGTTGCACACACAGAAATTGACCACGTACACTCTGCATACAGTCTGGTCTGAATTCACTCTGCTACTTTTCAGTGTGAACAAACTGCATACTCAAAACCCTCTCAGAAATAGAAAATAAATAACATAATGAGTTTTTGTGTGTGTTTGTTTTCTACTCTAGTATCTCCCCAGAAACCAGCATGTGGTGTGTGTGGACATGCCGGGGCACGAGGGGACAAGTCGCACCAGTGCCAAGGACTACGGCATCCAGGGCCAGGTCAGCCGAATCCACCAGGTCTGTACTAGTGTGTCTATCACCCACACACTTTGATTTGGGGAGCCTGCAGACAGGGATGGATACTGCTGATCCACGCTTCTTAGGCCAGGATCACGCTAAATAATATCAGTCTAAAAATGGCTGACAAAATGAAAGTCAGGGCATGAAAGACAGAAACACGCAGTGAGTCATGGCCAGAGACAACAGATTCTACTGTATGTCTTGTGACTACTGTGTTAGACATGGTGTGTCCGGAGGTTTTGCCTTCTCTTTCCAGGAGTTTTTATGGTGTGACACTGCAGTTACTGACACATCTGCTCCCCAAAATCGGACTCTGGTAAATGGCCATGTGCTTTCCTATACATTGCAGAATACTCGAAGCTCTTTCACACTATTTGGCCGTTCACCCATTCGCACTCAAGCACTCACACATTCACACATTCACACACCGGTGACATCACCAGGAGCAGCTGGGGGTTCAGTGTTGAGCCACTAATCCTCCGGTTAGGAGACAACCCACTCTGCCTCCTGAGCCACAGCCACCCCCACTGCACACTCACCTTTGTCTTACTGATCATAAACAACTGCTATGATTAGTCTGGGTGCAATGTGCAGTCCAACGAATGTGCAGTCTCATTAGTCAGGCAGAAAATGTATCTGCATGCCTCTATACATAGACAGCTATGTACAGTAGGAGACCGAGCAGTGGTTCAAAACAAAAATCCACTCATACAGCCTGACGACACTTATGGTACATTTATTCAGTAGCTGTGTTTCTGTCTTCATTAGGCATTTCACACAGCAAATAACAATGAGCCTGCTTATACTGTATCTATATATACACATAGAACAATCAGCCAATACTAGGGGCCAAGCAGTCAGTAAGTGGTAGGGGAATGGAACGGTATCAATAAGGCCCACTGAAGCAAATTTCCCTCAACTTTCCCAGTAAAAAAGAGACAGTTATCTGTGGGGTGTAACCCTAGAATATGAAAAAACTGTGATTGGCAGCAAACGTCTTGCAACATTAGCAGCAGTTTGTGAATGTTTGCTCGATCTTCAGTTCACCTGAATTAAACCTATAACACTGCAACCTTTAAAAATGCATTTTCTGCTTTGGTGTGAACTCCAAACCTGTTCTGGCAGACTCACTTGCTCAGCTCTGTTCAGCTTTACCCAGCAAATAGACCGATCCATGAGGACCGCACCACTTCACTGCTGTCACTAGTTAATTTAAGTAATAGTTCAACATTCTGGAAAAAGCACTCATTGTCTTTCTTTACGAGAATAAAATAAGAGGATGGATATTAATGTCATAGCTGGAGACAGGATGTGGTTAGCTTAACCTAGCATAAAGCCTCGAAGCGGGGGACAGCTAGCCTGGCTTTGTTCATTATTAAAACATAAAGTTTGCTAATTAACATTGCACACAGAAATGTCAAAACACTGATTGTATGTGTTCACAGTGAGGTTGCAAGGTTTGGCATCACTGTGGCTGTACAAAGACTAAAACCAGACGCTGTGTGCTTTCAGACTACATGTGGAAACTCATGCTTAGATGCTGCACAGAAACACTGGGCAGACAGATGCACTGTTGCTCTCCAGTGAGGCAACACAATATATTAATTTATATATTTATAATTTATATATATTATATATTACTGTGCAGTTTGTGGAGAGTATCGGTCTGGATAAAAGACCCTTCCACCTGGTTGGGACATCGATGGGTGGGAGCGTCGCGGGGGTGTATGCTGCCCATTACCCCGCTCACCTGTCCAGCCTCACCTTAATCGCCACGGCAGGTAAAATCAGCAGACATGATGATTTACCTGATGTTTCCCTCCAGGATTCAGTGACATGAAGCAAAATTATAGACACTCCTCCCTCCTTCTCTGCTCTGTCCAGGTCTGGTTTATCCCACAGACTCTAAGTTCATCAGGCGTCTGAAGGAGATTGATGAGGGTCACGGGGGAAACTCAGTTCCTCTGATCCCCACTACTGTTCAGGAGATGGAGGATATGGCAAAACTCTGCTATTACAACCTCCCCAAAATTTCCCGACAGGTACAGGACTGTGCTGTCAGGCCTACAGTCCATACTAATACACTTTCTAGGGCCCAAGCAGCTTGGTTTCTCTATGTACAATATTAGTCTACCAGTGCAATTACTGTAGTAATGCTAATATTCTACAGCTAGTACTGTTTCTGCTCTTTCTGCTGCAGTATTTGTGAATACGTATGTGTGTGTCTCTGTGTGTGTTTCCAGCTGCTACGGGGTTTGCTGAACAACAGGATTCCCAACAATGATTTCTACAGAGAAGGTCAGTGCAGTGAAATATATTCTCACACTCAGTGTTAATTTTGACACCTGAATTTGATTTTATTTTAGTCTTTTGACAAAAATGCATATTAGTTTTAGTCTAATTTTAGCCATTTGATTTGTGTTAGTTTTAGTCATCTCAGTTCTCATCTCATTTTCTATACCGCTTAGTCCCAAACGGGGTGGCGGGGGTGGGGCTGGAACTATCCCAGCTGGCATCGGGCAAAAGGTGGGGTACACCCTGGACAGGTTGCCGGTCCATCGTAGGGCCTGCATTTTTACTGTTTACTGTAGGCTGTATCTTCTTTATACTGGTTGTGTACCGTTACCATGGTTACACATGTGTCCCATCTATTGTGAGGTTTGTGGAAAATGGAGTTTTATTCATACAGTGTCCCTCTGCACTGAAGAAGTTGGACTCTGATTCGTACTAAAATCCCCTTCGCTGGGTTCATCTTGAGAGGCGACACTAAATAGTCAGATAACATTAAAACAGTGAGATCTGTGCAGCGGACGTTGCTGCTGCGTTTTCCTATTTTTTAGTGACTAATAAGTGTTTAACACTCCTAATGCCTGCCACAGCACAGTGCTGCTCTGGTGATTCCACTAGCAGATCTACTGCTAACTTTTACTAATTGCTTTGGGTCCTCTAATACGACTACTGACACTCATACATTTAGTTCAAGTTCAAGTTCAAAGTGTTTATTTGTCATAGGCACAGTTAGGAAACGTGTTTCCCTGTACAATGAAATTCTTACTTTGCCGTCCACATGAATGCCACAAAATACAAATAAAATATAAAGTAGATAAATAAGTAACACAAAATCTAAGGCACTTTAAGATCCTTAACAGAACACAAGGGTTAAGCAGCAATATAATAAAAATATATAAGATTATAATAACAGAATGTATGCTGCATGGGAGCAGCATGTGCAGCAGTCAACAGTCATTGTGCAATTATGCATGTGCAAACTGAGAATGTAAACAGTACATCACGTATTTCCTGGTAATAAACTCCTCAGCTGTTTAGGAGT